GTTGTAAATACTTGAAGATGATGAGGTTGAGAGAGTAAAAATGCCATTTTCGAAAAAAATTCAAAAAACATATAAATGGCATTTTCGTAAATAAAATGAAGATGTGGGGTGAATAGGACAAAAACAAGATGAGTCAAAAGAAGAGGTTAGTTTTGTGTTTGACTTGGAGTTTTGAGTCAAATTTGCAAAAAGCCCAAAATACTATCCTTAAAGCATATATACAAGTGTTCTCTAAAATATAAAAGTACGCTCTCTAAGGTTTGACGGCGATGGTGGAGACGACAGGGAGAGCATCACCATTGACGGGAGTTTGAAGCTTGGATCTGCATCCTTCGGCGGCGGATCACGGAGGAGATCGGCTACTCTGTGTTGGCTAACCTTTGTTGGCTGACGTTTTTCGGATTCACACAAGTTGATCAACCTTTGTTGATTCCGTTACTGGCACGCAAGCAACGATTTCACATCTGCTCTTCGTTATCACATCTGCTGTACGTCCCAGGATCTGATCCTTGTCTCTTTCTGTGACGCCACAGCACTGGAGATTTTGGAGATTACTGATATCAGAGGCACGATTACCGTCCATTCGAGGAAACCTTGTGATACCATTGTATCCAACGTATTTTTTCCTGCACTTTGGCTACGTTTTCTGAAAGCCCTTCTTCTCCACAACGGGTCTCCTTGGATCCGTTTGTTTTCCTGTACCTTGCACGTCAAAAAGTGGATATCTCCATATACTCTGTTTTTACATCACGAAACAGAGTACTCGATTAGGGGTTTAGTGAATGGGCATTTATGGACGCCTTGCGCCTGCTCCCATGACGGAATCGAAAGGAAAAGGGCTTGCGTATGATGAGGATGAACCGTTTCAACTCATGGATGACGATGATTCACAAGTATTGCAAGAGTTTCGAATGTCCTTGATAGGAAAAATACTTAACCCAAAGAAGCAAAATGTTGAGAAGCTGATCTAGTATATGCCAAAACAATGGGGTGTGCAGGACCGTATGACTTCGAACGACCTAGGTAATGAAAAGTTCCTGTTCAACTTCTCTTCGGAAGAGGACATCAAGACCGTTCTTAGTCAGGGACCCTTCCACTATAATTACTGTATGTTTGTTCTAGTGAGATGGGAGCCCATAGTTCATGATGACTATCCATGGACAATTCCCTTTTGGGTTCGATTGACCGGAATGCCTTTGCATTTTTGGACTGTTAAGAACCTACGGGGATTTGGCAATCGAATTGGACGCGTCGATACATTGGAGCTTGAGGAGGGTAGGATGCTGATTGACATTGACACACGGAAGCCTCTCAAGTTTAAGACAATGGCATCATCACCACAAGGGGAGGAAGTAACGATACAGATTACCCTATGATCTTTTGTTCAAGCATTGCACATCTTGTGGTTTCTTAACCCATGAGAAAGAATACTGCCCTAGCGTGCCTCGACAACAAAGTTCCAATAGCCGATCTGGTTTTTTTACCAGAGTTCAGCTGCCGCAGGATAAGTTTGATAGTCAACCTTTGTTGACATCAAAGACACATGCTGAGAAATATGGAGCTTCTCACCTGAATGTTGAGTCGGATGGTAATGTGCGTGGGAGAAGATGGTCTGAGGAGCCCTATGCTCGCAAAGACAATGTTACTCACAAAAGTAATGCAGCTAACAGGACTCGACAAGGTAGTGAATACCGGTCTCAAAGGGACATGAAAAGGACAGAAGAACGAAGGGCGAACAGGTCCAATCACGGACCTTACGCACGGCAGAGGGAGCCTTACTGGCGTGAGAAGGCGAGGCACTTGTCCCCTTCTTCCGTACGCTTTAGAAGCTCGTGAACAGCGAGCTTCTAAAGCTGGACATCGTGTGCTGCTCCACACGGGGGATGACACTCCTTATGAACAGTCATCGACAAGTAATAATAACTTGCAGGCCTTGTCTAGTTCTCATCGTGAGGACACCCATCAGCCAGAGGAGCGCAGGAGTGGAGAGGAAAGGAACACTAAGCGATTGGCGAGTACCATTGTTTCTCCCATGGTACATGTTTCTCAAGAGGAGAATGTAACCTTCAGAGATAAGAGTGCTGCACGATCACTTACATTCCCGTCTAAAGGACAGCAAGAAATCGAGAAGGATCAGATGATTGGGGCATTACGTGATATGGAGGAGCTAGATACGAACAAGGATATGCAGGGACAGGAGGTACAAGATGATGATCTTTTTGATGAAGAGCTACTGGAGCTAGGTGGCAAGACTTATGCCTCTAAAGAGAATAAATCCTCCACTTCGGCTGCAACGTCTGGAAGGACTAAACACACAAGTATAGGAAGCACGCAGGGAAGTCAACCGAAGAAATATGAGTCCCTCCATAGAGGTTCTCCAAGGATGAGACCGATCATATCGAGTTCTCATAAAGCACAGGGAGAGAATGATAAGGAGAAGCGTTCTCGTCGGAGTACCAAGTCTACGCGCAATAACTCAACCAAGGATGATGGTTTGATGGGTTCCAAAATCCATCCCCATATCATCCATGAGGACAATCAGTTGGAACTGTCGAGGGATCGGAAACCACCTCACAGTTCGACGCCTTACAGAGATGTGTCAGAAGCATCGCCCATGACTTGTGTTTCTCTCTGAGACGAAGAATAGGAGGCTGCTGTTGCAAGACATTCAGGCCGACTTAGGATTTGATCGTTTGTTTACCGTTGAGCCACTTGGTCTCAGCGGCGGTTTAGCGCTTTTCTATATGGATGATTTTCAAGTTAATGTTTTATTTTCGAATAACAGAATGATTGACATTGAGGCAGTCATTGATGGAATAAAACTCTACATGACATTTGTTTATGGGGATCCTGTACTAGAAAGAAGAGATTTAGTTTGGGAGCGTCTAACGCGTTTCTCAACAACACGAAATGGACCTTGGTTCATGATAGGAGATTTTAATGAAATTACTTGTCATGGAGAGAAGGAAGGAGGGAGACAACGCCCTGACAGCTCCTTTTTTCCCTTCAGGCAAATGTTAAGTGATTGTGGTATGCTGGAGTTTCCTTTCACAGGAAACATGCTATCTTGGGTTGGAAATAGAGCAGGGAGGACGACAGTCAGATGCCGCCTTGATAGGGCTGTTGGGAATGAGGACTGGCATGAAAAATTCCCTCATTCCAAAGTTAAGTATATGAGACTCTGGGGTTCGGATCATCGTCCGATCCTAGCTGATATTCTAAAAAAGAAGCCGAGGAGAACAAGAAATTTGAAATTTGACAAGAGATGGTTGGATAATGATGAGCTTAGGAAAATTATACTTGAGGGATGGAAGTCACCGTACCTATCACCAGACGCAAGTATAATGGATCATATTGCAAGCTGCCGCCGAGCATTAAGTGTATGGAAAAAGCAGCATAATCTGAATTCTGAGAAAACAGTGGAGGAGCTAAAGGAAAAGGTAGATCGGTTATCTTCAAATGATGATGCCACTACTGAGGAGATTGCGGCAGCTATTAAGGAACTATCCGACGCTCTTAAGGCGGAGGAGATGTTCTGGAAGCAAAAATGTAGGGTTTTCTGGCTCAGAGAAGGAGATAGGAATACTAAATTTTTTCACGCCCTTACGAAACAAAGGAGAGCTCGAAATAGGATTACCCAATTACTGGATGAAGATGGAAATGTCGTGGAGGATGAGGAAGGATTGGTAGCCATTGCTACAAATTACTTTCGACACATCTTCTAATCATCAAATCCTGAAGAAATAGAGGAGGCACTCTCTGAAGTATCAACCACTATTACCTTGACAGACAATGAGACTTTAACAGCCCCGGTCACAGAGTGGGAGGTTAAATTGGCTCTTTTCGCGATGCATCCAGAGAAAGCTCCAGGACCAGATGGAATGATGGCACTGTTTTACCAGAAATTCTGGGATATTGTAGAGGATGATTTAACTCTTATGGTTAATCAATTTCTATTTGGGGGAACGGTGCCATCTGGACTAAATGATACCAATATATGTCTCATTCCAAAAGTGGATAAGCCCAATCAGATGAGTCAGTTACGCCCTATTAGCTTATGCAATGTGAGCTACAAGATTATCTCTAAGGTCTTATGCCAGAGATTAAAAAAGTTCCTACCAGATAGGATCTCATAGACCCAGTCAGCCTTTGTTGCTGGGAGACAAATATCTGACAACATTATGATAGCTCAGGAATTGTTTCACGCCTTAAGAACAAAACCGAGTGGCCGAAATAAAAGGATGGCTATCAAAACAGATATGAGTAAGGCATATGACAGGATGGAATGGTCCTTCATTGAGGCCACCATGAGGAAAATGGGATTTTCTGAAGTCTGGATAACTATGCTAATGAGATGTGTAACGACACTAAAATACAAGGTCCTCATGAATGGACAGCCAAGAGGGAATATCGTCCCAGAGAGAGGTCTAAGACAGGGAGATCCTCTGTCCCCTTTCATTTTTATTCTGTGCACGGAAGCGCTCGTTAGCCTTCTAAATCACGCAGAGAACCAAGGAGAGATAACGGGGATGCGCATCACGCGTGCGTGTCCCTTGGTATCTCATCTTCTCTTTGCTGATGATAGTCTGTTCTTCTGTAAGGCGGAGCCCCATGAATGTGAAGAAGTAATGAAAGTGGTCAAGGTATATGGACAAGCTTCAGGACAATGCATCAATTTTGACAAGTCTTCTTTACTCTTTGGTAAAAGAATTGGCCAAGATGTGAGACAAGAAATCAAAGACACACTCGGGATCCAAAATGAAGGAGGAATGGAGACATATTTAGGCATACCAGAGGATATTAGTGGGTCTAAAGTTAAACTCTTTGCCTTTCTTAAAGACAAGTTGAGAAATATAGCTAATGGATGGACTGGCAGATGGCTTTCTAAAGGCGGGAACGAAGTCATGATTAAATCAATCCTGCTCGCTCTTCCGACGTATGTAATGTCTTGTTTCCGTCTCCCTTTGGAGATTTGCGAGAATTTAGCTAGTGCCATTGCACAGTTCTGGTGGAGCTCAAACCCGCCAAAAAGGGGGATTCACTGGTCAACATGGGATAAATTATGCTTGCCCAGGGAAGAAGGTGGAATTGGCTTTAGGATGATCCATGAGTTTAACCTTGCGTTACTAGCAAAGCAACTATGGAGACTGGTACAGAACCCGGACTCTCTGGTAGCTCGCGTTTTGAGAGGCCGGTACTATAGATTGAGTACGCCTTTGCGTCAAACCAGTACCAGCAGCCCATCATATGTGTGGACAAGCATTTCGGCCGGAAGAGAATTGCTATTGTTAGGACTAAGACAAAAAATACACTCGGGATATGAGGTTAAAGCTTGGGAAGATCCTTGGATTCCTACTATACCTGCGAGATCAGCAACCCCACTGGCATCGGTTCTCCACCCAAATATGCGAGTGAGCGACTTGATTAACCAAACAACGAGGACTTGGGATGACAGCCGACTTCAAGATTATATCGATCCTGATGACATACCACTCATTAAGAGTATGGCCATTAGTTCCACGCATCGACGGGATACGTACTGCTGGAGTTATACGAGGATTGGACAGTATACAGTTAAATCTGGATACTGGGTAGCACGAAATATCTTGAGGAAGGAGGATGAAGCTGAAGTATGTGAGCCTAGTATCACAAAGCTCCAAGCACATGCTTGGAAGTTCAGGGCTCCCCAAAAGATTTGCCATCTTATGTGGCAGTTGATTACAAGACATGTAGCTGTTACGAGCATCCTAAACTACATACATATGAGATGTGACAACCACTGCCCTCGATGTGGGAAACCCGAGGAAACGATCACACATGCAATATTCGAATGCCCACCTGCCTTACAGGTTTGGGCACTATCATCTACGCCTACCAATCCCGCCCTGTTTCCAGTACAAAGCACGTACGCGAATATGGACTACCTATTTTGGAGGAAGAATACAATAATGGAACCAGAATTGGACAGAGATCCTTTTCCTTGGCTAATCTGGTACATTTGGAAGGCTAGGAATGATAAACTATTCAGAGGCATTGATAGGGATCCATTGGAAGTAGCGCGCTATGCGGAAAGTGAATGCCAAGCATGGTTCCAAGCAAATGAGCAGGATATACCGTCCTCCCTTGGGGACGGAATAGATGAGGACCAGGCATTAAGATTGGGTAACATATGCATGGTGGATGGATCTTGGACTTCAACGAATTCCTTCAGTGGATGTGGATGGGTATTGAGTGATGCTTCTGGAAATAGTCAGCTATTGGGGTTACGAAATTTTGATCGAGTGGAATCGGTGTTGCATTCAGAGTTTGAAGCACTGCGGTGGGCAATGGAGAACATGCTTCAACATTCGCCATGTCAGAGCTTTGGAACTGATTGTAAGGAGATGATCGAAATGCTCAAGAATCCTTATGCATGGCCTAGCTTCTCAACGGAACTGGAAAAATTGATGACACTGAAGATCTGTTTTCCTGACTTCAAGATTTTTTATGTTCCTAGAGTTCAGAACGGCGTTTCTGATTCTTTAGCTAAGATAACTAGGTCCTTTTATCGTAAACTTGTGTACGTTGGTTGTTCTATTCCGGTCTGGTTACCCAGACCACCTCACGTTGCTTGAGTAATAGATCATCCGTTTGAGGTAAAAAAAGAAGCATATATACAAAATCAAAATATATAAACACAAATGATCAACAACAACCGTAGAAGTGCGCAGGAGTCGATACGGCTATACCTAACAGCCTAAAATGTTATAAGCACGTTGAATTCATCCATAAATAAGGTCTAAACACCATTGAAATATGGACTCTCATTCTTCTTTATAAGAATGTACATTGAATATTTATTTATAGGGAATTATATGCGCATGTTTGGAAATTTATATTATAGTTGGTCATTTAAAAAATGGACTGAACGTAGAAAATGTACTTAATAAATTTTGATTTATAATTTTGTTCTTAGGTTAAATGTCATTTTATTATTTTCTTAAACTAAGTGTTAGTTTAGATTCTAATGCAATTCTCAAAAAGTCTAAATTTAACAATCTTCATTAGAGAATAAATTATGTGGTGTACAAACAAGAATAATATATATATATATATATATATATATTTTAAATATGTTATATAAATTTTCAGTGACTTTTAAATGATAAAGGACTAAATTGTTTTCATAAATTGATATTAGAATACAAATAAAAGTTTTTCCCAACAAATAAAAAACTACTAACAATATTTAGCTAGTTAAACCGATAACACATAAGGTGATATTAGATGACTAGCATAGGTTTTTTCAAAAAAATATAAATTTTTTTAAATAAGTTAGGTAGTCAAAGTCAAAATACATAATTACCATAAATAAAAAATATTCATATCTTTGATGACGTGTTCATCGTGTGTCGTTCTAGTTTTTAGGGCTTGGTGGCGATCCTTTTAACATAAATATAGGTCTTAGGTTTAT